ACAACAGCGTAACAGAATGCAGAGTTTTATTAATGCATGTTGTAGAAAGCGAACCAAATTCATTTTGTCTACGTTTGGAGCTTCTGTACGCTCTACTACAGCGACCCGATCAGTGTGGAAGCGTGTGCGGAGTAATGACTGGTGGGATAGACAATTTTCCTGAAAGTCGAAGATACAGTGTTTCTCATGCACGCACATGTCGTTTTGGGGTGTAACGTAAATTTGCACGTGTGATATTGTGCCAAGTGTACCGATCAACGTCACAAAAATTAAATTCCCTTCTATTGCCTATCAGCAAACTGTTTTTTTCAGCCTGACAAAGCAGGAATATTTTTGCACCCCATTCTTGCTACTTCCGGGAAAGTTGCTTATATAATCGTTATACGAACATGGGACAAAGCAACATTCCTCTATAACTTCAGACTAATCAACGTTTCTTCAAACCATGCGTCTTCTAGGTTGTTTCTATGTTATGTCTGAGCTTGGTTGCCATTTGGAAATGAGAAAGTTGCATATATTTGATCACATGCATAATATTCACAGCCAAAGGTCGCCACAGAGGGCGCTTAGCTCTGTGCTAAGCATTCGCGCACAATTCGTTAGCCCATTCGAAGGGTCTGGACCACGCCTTAAATTCGGATCAGATTTTACCTGTACTTAGCATTCCTTAGCCTGTGTTAAGCATTCATGCATGTTTTCGTAGCACAGGCTAAGGAATTTGACCTCTTAGCCCGTGCTAAGGAGCTGTGTGTGAACGCAACTATAGATGAATAGAAAATTAGCAAAAATTTAGGGGAAGTACTGAGCTGGGTCAACTTTTCCAATATTGCCAGTAGTGGTGGTTGAAATTGGCCATAATTTGTGAACTTTTCAACTCCTGTGAAAATGCTATGCTGTTTTACTATTTTAAAAACTAGAGAAAACCACTCTTTTAATAATATTGTTAACATTTTAACACTTGACTATTGCCCATTTTACTTTTCAACTTTAGAAAAGTTGGCTGCTATAAAGAACCATCTAGCACTCAAATCATGCTGCGTAGAACCCTGAGCATTATTGCAACACACCTAGGCAAACAGATAGCTACATTGCTGTAATGATATAGATTGTTTATAAATACAATAATAATCACAACATTGCAACAAAGTCGGTTCACTTTGCTGCAATGTTGCGATTACCTGTTAATAAACAATCTACTGGTTTACCAATACAGCAATGTGTTGTTTACCAAGCTGTATTGCAATATTGCTAGACAGTTTTTTATGGCAGCGACAGAAATGAATTTTCAATTTTAATTTTTCAAAATAGAAACTCAGGGGCGAATCAGAATCAGATAAAATAACAAATGCAAAAAAAAAAAAATCTGCAGGGATTACCCACCGTCGTTCAATTGAGAGACATACCCTCACATAAGGGACGGTGGTCCATCCCTAAACATACCCTCACATAAGGGACGGTGGTCCATCCCTAAACATACCCTCACATAAGTGACTGTGGTCCATCCCTAAACCACAGTCCCTCAACACTGTGCCTAAACATACGCTGCAATAAAAATACTATGTGGTTGCTAAACCTCGCCACAGTCCTTCAGTATCAATCATTGAGGGACTGTGGCCTCGTGTGTGTGGCACACCGTGGTCAACATTCAGCTAATAAGTACGAATCGAAGTCCACGTCATGGTACACAATGAATGTCAAGCTGACGTGCCACAAAATAAAATTTACAATGATGTCGACCGCCATAAACCCACTAGTGAATTTAAAACTCACCTGGCAAAAACACCGGTTAACAGAGCTGGTAGTATTCTTCGGAAACGTTAAACATATTGAAGTGAATACTAGTGAAATTAGGAATAAAATCCTGGCCATCGCGAGGGTATAATTTGTCCGTCCACCCTTAATATGTGGCCTTTCTCACGACCAAACGATCAGGTAAACAACTATTACTTCCTGTTCGGGGATTCCGGAAGTACTTTTTGCTTACGCCGAATTGAAATGCAAATACACAATTGTGAAAATAGATCTTGGGTTGTCAAAAAAAATAGACAATTAATTTGAGCTAGTTACACTAGCCTGGTTATAGTAGGATGCTTGAGATGTAGGTAACACAGCCAACACAACTTTTCTTTGCAGCGACAGAGTTGGAATTTAATAATTCGCGTTGCGCATTGATATATATATATATAGTTGACGCTATGGCCTCAGGTCAAGCTCCGATATTTTATGATGTACACGTAGAATTGTGGGAGTGAGTCATCAAGAAGACTGGCCGACAATGCATTATTTTCACACTTTGTGTGTCGTAGCACTGATTTGTTACCTTCTTATTGGGTGTATACATGTCATGATTTTGAGAATGGTGGGAAGTACTAGTTTACACTAACTCAAAACCAGGCTGACAAGTTACATATAATTATATGAAAATGAAATAAACCAACTAAACACTAAAGCCACTAAGTCAAAAATGTTACTCCCAAACATGACAGATGAAGAAAAAAATGATAGCTATGATGAACAACAATGAAAATAAAACAATTATAAAACTAGCTAAATACATATATGAATGTTTCAAAATTAGAGAAAATAATATGAGAAAGTCTCCAATGCCATCTCAATAAACCACAATATTAATATCAAGGCATATCTGCAAGGTTTTTTTCTGTTATCATCATTTTTATGATATTTTATCTCATTGTCTTTCTTGTTTTTCCTTTCATCCACACTTTATTGTAATTTAACTCAAGATCCTATAAAGAATACGATATCAATAAAGTTTATTATTATTATTATAAAAGCAGTAATGGCAGCTTGATCAGCTCAAATTAAATACTGATAATACATATTACCACGATAATTAATAACTAATAATTAAAACTGGCAAAAAAGTCTCACAAGATAAAATATTAGGGTCATCACTGATACTATAATATTTGACCTTGTATATATATTTGGCTGTAATGTAATTTGCACACAATTACCAGCATCAGCCAATGTTGTTTGATCCGTCGCTGGTGATGAAAAATGACCGCGTTGAAGGTCAAAACCCCAGGTCAAAACCACTACGTTTACCACAACTTGATCACAATGATAGTGTAGTAGAAAGTAGGGTAGAAAAACCTTAATACCTTAAAAATAACAATAAGTTTTATGATTGCTTCATAGATTTCAAAAAAGCTTTCGATAGTGTTTGGATAGCAGGTCTGTTCTATATAATGTTAAAAGCAGGAAATAATAATAATAGTTTATTACGCAACTGTAATCTGCTGTGTGCACAGTAAGGTGAAAATAAAATAAAATAAATAAAAGACATACAACTGAAAAAACTAAAAATTTAAAAGGTCTAATAACTACAAATAAATCGAAAAGTAATAAAAATACAGTAAATAAAGCAAAGTAAACCCAAGTAAAGGTTCTCCCTACCCAGGGGTTTACACAGGCGGTGCTTTGTGTGGTATTTTTTTAGATATAGTGAAAGAGCACTGTTATTTTTCGTAATTTTTAAGAACAGTACGTCTTTGTTACGTCTTCACTGGAGGTAATCATGATTTCGCAGTTTTTCAGTAAGATTTTTCTTTCATTTTAAAATAAAATGTTTTTCATCTTCAATGTCGCCTTGATCACATATTTTTACAGACTTTTTCTGTTGCTGGTTTACTCCTTCTACCTAGTTCAATTTCCAAAATGTGATCACTAAGCCTGAATTTTGGTAACATTCTACCATAGACAGTATAGTTCTACTATAGATGATTCTACGCAAGCTAAAGTTTTTTAAATTTCATTTAGGTAATTTTCAATTCAAATGTTTATTTATTTATTGCCCCCAGTCTTGTCTTTACTACTAGTGGATGAGTTTAGCTGCTTCTTCCAAGACTGTTTGTATTGATATGTTAATTTCACTTTTATGATGTTTGTTAGCTGGCTAATATTATCTACATTGTGCTGTTCTTTTGCTTCATCCAGTCAACTGGTCAAACAGTTTCAAGCATAATGAATTTGATATCATTTTATGATTCAGTATTGAATGTCGGACACTAAATAATGCCTTCATTGCTTTATTCTTTAACATTGATTGTGCTAATTTAAACTTCAATTTCCCATCAGGTGTAATTATTCAAGTTGATGTTTTTAATTTTTTCAAGTTTACATATATATTTTTCACCGAGATACGATATAGAAAGAAACTTCATAAAGTAAAACCAACAAAATATTCATAAACATGACAAAAATAACAATAAAAAATAAAAAAATGCTATCCTAATAATTGGATTGTCAATTCTGATGTGTGACATTACGTATGACCTATATAAAGTTTGGACACAATCGGTCAAAACATGTGAGAGATATGGCTCTGGAACTGTAACTGTGGTTGGTTGAAATACCATAACCCTCCAAAAACGAAATCAGTGAATACATTTATCGATAGTTGGCGATATCATAAGAATTTGTCGTTCAGCTATTAAAGTACCACGAAATGTTATCCATTTGTGCATTGTCCCCATGTTAGGCAATGCAGTCTTGTCACCCCTCCTCAAACAGACTTGAGTTCAGGCCTCAGATACGTGTGGCATACTTAAATATTAGAATCTACCGGAACCCACACACACACTAGTATCGTAAGTCGTCTCTACCTTTCTTATATATTGTCAAGTGCCCTTCAAGTTCGTGTTAATCAGTGCGCATATTTTATTTATTTATTCGAGAACCATCAGGTTACCATAATGAAAGATTTGTTCAAAATATACCGCAAATAACAATGTGCGTTTGAAAATCTACTATATTCAAGCAAGTTACAGGCATATTTTTTTATAAAAAAACAAAGAAAACAATTGCTATGAAATTAAATATATTGATTATGAGACGAGGCCATGGTTCATACTTCAATTAAAGACAATAATCACCGAAAACGTTGAAAATTTGGGACAATAGCCAATAAGAATTGTAACCGCTTCTTTTCCATCGTTTATAGAAACACACCGACAGTAAGACACAAGAGAACCTACCTCCATTCTGTTCACGTGACTCACAGCGCCGCCACATATTTCCTTAATTTGTTGTTAGGTAGATAAACATTTTGACTAAATATTATCAGCCTGCACCCTTATTCACCATCTTTTATTTGCATAAGTTGAACAAATAGAGTTGGTCCTATCGGTGCATGCGTCTGTTAAAAATGGGTCGCATATTTTTTGTTCTGGTTTCGGGTAAAATATTTGTTTTTATTGTTCATATGAAAACGGAAAGGAAGAGCAAAGGGAACATTATTTCTTGACAAAAAATGAAATTCACACCATCGCACCATTTTGGAATGATACCGTTGTTTATAATATTAATATATTTTCTGCATATCTATCACGGGTTTATTCAGTGGGTCTACGTATTAAGTATGTTCACATTTATTACAATATCACCTTATACAGGTAGATAGTTTAGACGCATCCGATTTGTTTTCCCAGCTGAGTGTCCCTGCAGATTGCATTCCATAGTCATGTCAATCAGCTTGCAAAAGTTTCAGTGGAATTTGGGAAAACAGACGTAGGAGTTGTGACTCTTAACATAACAGTCTATTCGTTGGATGGGTTTCTTGAAACAAATCAAATTGAGCAGAACGATTGGCCAGGAAACTCCCCCAAGCTTTGACACAGCATATAATACAACTGTTTGTGCACTCACAATTTCTGGTGATGAAAGTTATGTTCCAAAACGGAATCAGAATACATACGTGAAACACATATTAGTAGTTGATAGTCATGGATCTATTTACAGACATTTTGAAACGAACTGCCTCAATGTTTACTTGCATATGAAAGGCTAGGCTAGACGCGCCTTTCCTATGTAGGCGTAACCTGTACTTATATGGTATTGCTGCATATTGTTAGACTTTTAAAAATCTTTTAACTACTATTAATAATAATAATAAACTGTATTGCCTCCATGTAAAAAGATTTAAATGGGATAAGTACAGCAAAAAAAGAGTTTTAAAATAATAACAAGATATATGTGAAAATATTATAAAAAGTACTTAACTATATATTATTTATATATGATATATGCTAACCTTGTGTGATTTTTGATAGTCAGTAAATTATATAATTTATTGTTTATTTACGTGCATTTTAGTTTGTAATTTCATAGTTTTGTAACTTGTGCTGTGCTATATGCAATACATGTGAAATCGCTCATTGCTCATTCTGAAGACGTTGACTGGTCCCAAGTGTCAGGGCGCACCAGGCCATTCACAAGGAACGCCGGGAACCAGAGACGTTGCCCTGGAGGAGAGAAACAACTCCCTCTCTGGTTTCGCGCATCCGGTCAAAAGTCAAAAACTCTCGGCAGCCCGAACTTTTGAGCAATGCAACTATACTTTATAATAGCCTGTTAGACGTGTTAGCACTTGTCTGGAATATTCTAGGGCAGATCGTCATTGTGCAGGCGCAACGTGGGACTGCTAGATCAACCCGTGAGAATTGTATGGAAGTTTGACACGGCTGGTGAGTGAAGTCCATCTGATTCGTAACTTCATGTTGAAAATACCTATAATAATGTTTATATATAGCAATTTCAACCAATAAAACAATATTTTTGTGTTTGTGTGGAACGCAGATCCGTGAAATTATTTATAACCTTCATTTTCTCAACAAAAAAAAAAATCAAGTTGATCCATAATTTTTTTTACATACAAAAAGAGAAACATATTGTTATTACTCTTATACTTGTTTCTGGCCGATCAGGTGGAACTAAAGACTGATCGCAATGGCGAAACAAAACATGCACACTTTTTCTTAGCTACCAAAAATCATACCTCAACTTACAAAATAGCTAATAATAATAAAATAACCTATTACATATGGGGTAAATCCTATATTTCCACACATTTCTGATGAAATATGATCATTACCCTTTTCACAACCAGTTCCCTCTTTTCATCAAAAATTCTCAAAATAGTCAAAATTAAAATTAGAAAAAAGTGCAGACAAACTTTGGTGATGAAAAGGTTAAAGCGGTGGTCGTCGCGCAGCGCATGTTCGAATTTCATGTAAATAAACAATGTATTTTACACGCGTTGTATACGTCGCTATGAGTCCCATATCGAACAGGACGCGGCGTGACGACTACCGCCTTTTAACAATCACTGCATTACTAGGCTTCAGTTACTCCAGTTTATATGCCCTCAAATGACATGACTGTGAATTTTGTCTGTTTGAGGGCGCTCCACGCATATGCATATATCTTTTGAGTTTCCATCTAAGTGGTAAATGAATGCCCCTCTTCTGCTAGTAAAATATATTGGAAAGCAGTATGTTTTTATACAGAAACCAATAGTCTGTTTTCTCATACTACAGTACTACTATAAGCTGATTTTTTATTTGAAAAATATTCAATAGTGACAACTACCGATATGACTTTACTTCTTCTAAATTTATTATTACTCTTATTGTTTGAAACTTATATAGTGCAATAATGATACAAATTAATAAAATAATTGAATTTATTGATGATAGTTCTTGGAGCTATTTTGAAATAGATGAATCTTAAGTTTCTTCCTAAATCATTGTACTCCCCAGGATACAAACAACGTGGCGGTACCGCCATGCTGCTCTGAGAGACCAACTTGACACACTCAAATCATTACCACCATACTTAGTTTCTGCACCTTTACCTTTGTCTATGATTTCCACAGCTATTGTTCTATGTTCTGTTCATAAACAGCCATAAACAACCAACGTTAATGGAAGTCAAACAAGTTTTAAGTTTATTTGGATCGACATGTACACATTGACAGTTTTGCTCTATTTACATAATTCACAGATCACGGCATCATGCCATAGCGTCTAAGAAAAAATTATTGTAATGTCGAAAATAAATCATAAATGAAATCGAAAATCAAAAGAAATGTTCAACATGCTTTTCCATTGTAACTGGTTTATAGGAATTTGTAAAACATCACAAATTCAGTCTCTACGCTACTTTACCGATCACACCACGACCGTTGTTGGGTTTGAAAACAAAAATTGTTCAAAGAAATGCTGATTTCAATGTTGAAAATAAAACTTTTTATGAAAGTACTAATAATTAAAACATCAATGAAATAAAACAAAATTGTTGCAGTTTTCACGTAAGGCCACGAAAACTTGATGTCAAAAAGTTCAACTTGCTTTTCATCATGGCTGGTGACCCTTAGGCCTACTTTTTTCATAGACTGTAGCCTATCTGCCATTGAAGGCACTCTAATCCTGTGTTCTCCACAAATAAAATTCCAAGAATGGTGTTAATTTGCATATAATTAGCTTATCTAATTTGCATATAAATCATAATGCTATGTCAAGACAACTATAATACTGCATTCTGGGAAGATCTGTATTAATTAAGGTAACACATGAGCTGCCATGATTGGATATTTTATACAGTTTAGTTATTGTTGTCAATTACCCGAGAATCCTCCACATTTTGCCACTATTTTTGCACAAATATAATAATACTGATTTTCTTGTTCATTGATTTAAGCCATGACTTATGTTTTCATTCTAAATTATAAAACTAACAAATAATATATACCAGTAATGTACAAATGTATAAGCAGTTTACAAAAAATTAAAAAATGTACAAACATTATGAATAAATTATGTAAATCAAATGCTAATTATCATGCAAATTAGCCACCATCAACGACTAAAATCCTGGGGAGACACTGTTAAATACAGATAACAAATCACACTTTTTTCTGTCAAATTGTTCCACAGAAGAAGAACCATGTCATTTGTGAGGTATCGTCAGATTTTGTAGATGTTTCTTATATGAAAAAAATGATGATTTGCAGTCAATGTTGATATTGTTTTCCATTGTTAGACTATCGTTGGTACGATGTCAGTGTCACAAATTTGTTTATGTGTCGCCATTTTAATTAAGGTTATGTCATGATCCAAAGAATAACGGCCTTGTCTTATCTGGGTTTAACTTTTAACAGGGATACACATATGTGAAATGTAGCTAGTTATGTCTATAGTCGTGAAAGTCAAATAAATTTGTGTGTCATGGGCATACATATGGAGCTTGATGTTGTTTTCTCATCTAGTGGTAATGTATACATGGTGAATTCAATTGGTCCAAGAATAGAGCTTTGTGGCACACCATATTTTAGATTGTGAGAGATGCCATTGATTGCTTGTTGTCGATCACAGAGATGCATGTTTAACCATGCAAGAGCAATCCCTGATGGAATTCCATAGCGTTTTTCAGGTGAGATAAGATTATTGAATGACGAGGACTTTGTGATTGTCTAAGGCTCGAATAACGTCATTTTGTACTCAAGAGCAGTTTCAGTACTGTGTGAGTTCATACTGGTGTATAGTAGTCAACAATTTTGTACTCAAGAGCAGTTTCAGTACTGTGTGAGTTCATACTGGTGTATAGTAGTCAACAATTTTGATTAATATCCTTTTATTGAGCAATATTGACACACAACACACACTACAGTAAAGTTGGAATATACATATATAAGTAGAATGTGATATTTAATACTCGTTAGAACAATTACAGTTCAACTAACCAATGATTCAATGAACATAAGTGCACACTCATCTAATACTGTTAACATATAATGATTTATATAAAGGCCACGAACAAAAATTTATCCACTAAAATTGATTAACTGATTTCAACATTGTCTAGAATTGTCACACGGCTTTTGAAACAAAAGCAACCAGATTTTACTGTAACCTGACCTGTTCATTAACTTTCAAATGTCATTACCACCAACAACGTAGTATATCAGTGGGGTATCAACTATCAAATTGTTACATATACCGTACTTCCCCCGAGTATAAGCCCAGGGGCCTGAACATGTAAAATCGGGAAAAATAAGAAGTGGCTTATACTTGAGGACCACTTAAAACTGTAACCATCTTCCCAACCTCGAAACATTATCCAAATTACAGTTTTCGTTAAGAGCGCCAGTCGCGGAGGAATATTACATCTTTTCGAGGAAAAAAATGCGAAACGAGTCGTCATTTGATTTCAACAACACTTTTTACAATGAAGAAACAAACATGTTCATAAAAATACAAACATTTTATTACAATACGGTTTACATATCGACCGAATTTACGGTGCAAAAATGGGTAGGGTCTGTTGGGAAACGGCCAAAGGCAAGATCTTACACAAACTCTTGATAAAAAGCTACACCATGGTTTCATCATAATTTGCCCTGAACAACCTCCTTTGACCTAACAGATCACATCTTTCGTTAACCAATGAAAATTCTGTGTCACACAGTCAAAGTTTTTTCAACGCAATTTTTTTCAACGCAATGCGGAAGTGAATTACCGCGATGTTAAAATGCTTTCACGGCCACCAACAAGTCATGTCGAAGAATAGTTTGCTCGTTCAGATCCCATTCACGATAGACTCAAGCATTTTCGAAAAAAGTAAAGCGAAGATCATTGATCAGGTTTCACGACTTGACAATCATCTTGCCGTTTGGAAAAACTACTACTCAAAAGAAATATGTATTATTTCAGTATTGCAACATCAGGGTTCATCCTGGGTAAATAACAGAATAGAAAATGTGTGAATTACTAGTATGTTTCGTCATGTATGTTCGCCCACCCGAGTTTTCTCGTAGAGCTGAAACCAAACTACCGTACCAATCATGATTTTATGCAATGAAATACACTTTTTACATGCATATTTTAATAAATGTCATCGACACCTGGTAAAAACACCCTGGGCCTATACTCGGGGATGCCCTCAACTCGTTAAATGTCCAAAAACCAGGGGTGGGCTTATACTCGGGGAGGGGCTTATACTCGGGGAAGTATGATCATAGCGTAATAATTAATGTGACTTTCTGAATAGTACTATTAATGCTATCGGTAGTTATCTACAAAATATTGATGCATATTTAATAAACAAATGTCAAATGATTAATTAACTTAATTGTAAAAATTTAAAAATTTACTAAAATCTAAAGTGAATAATTACTGTATCTATATTGTTACTACTATAACAATCAGTATATTTATCACTAAACAAAACTACAAAATTGTCTTACGTCAATATACATGTATAAAGATTATTACAACTAATGAAAAAAATTATAATTATAAACTTGAATATCCTAAAAAAAAAGCCACACATAATAATCAAAACACACTTTCTGCATTACAATTCATTGATACATTGTATCTCCTCCAAAACTTAGTATTTGCATTGCCAAGTTGACATTACTCTGAAGTTGAGCCTAATCGCTCTATATCGGAATGACACTCATTGGCCAACTTCCAAAACTCTACAAGATGACGCATCGTTAGTTCATCTGGCAGTTTTTCAATTCCCTTTATTATATCTACAGCTTTATCTTCACAAAATTTATTCAGACAATCACGAATTCTAAAATAAAAAACAAAACAAAATATGGTGTGAATAAATATAGATAATAAACAACTTGAACACACTCACTCACACACATACACAATCAATCAATCAACACTCTTAATTATTTTGTTGTAGGCTGATTTTTAACTAAACAAATTTTATCTTGTACTTAATATATCCTCTAAATGTAGTTTTTTTATATTTATTCTATCAAAACCTATAAAGTATCTCCACCAACTCAACAGGCAGTATCTCCACATTATTAAGGAGCTGTAGTGTTTTGTATTTTTAACTTCCTAAATGAAACAATACATTCATAAAAACAGTATCGTATTATCTTCAACGACAATCTTTAAATTGTGCATATATTAAAATTCACATACATATTATCAGGAGTAATCTCTGTCTGTAGTCCAGATTTCAGTTCTAAATGGACAAATTCAAATAACTCTCTAATGAGTCGTATTATATCAATACGTTGAAGTATCTCTTTGAGACTGTGTACTCTATCATCTGGCAGTTGTTGTATGTATCGGATATCAATATCATCAAACGGATCCTGAAATATTCAAATACAGGAATATATTAAAATCCATGGTTCGCTTCACTTGTGGTGTATTATAAAGCAGATTGGGTTGGCACTTGCACACATACAAGAATCAAGTTGTAGACAATGATAACAATTAACATACGGTAAAAGCACAAAGGCTCATTGGTAAACGACGACACGTTATGGATCTCTGTCGCATGACAGGTGATGATTACCCTGCTTTAAATGAAAATAATATTATGTTAATCCTGCAATATTTTCAGCAATTATGCTACACAAATACAGTAATAATCCTACCAGGTTCCCATTGATGAATTGCTTGGCCTTCTCTACCACCAGCAACTGCCACAATGATAATATATGTGATAGAGTACTGCTTTTTCTAGCCTGAAATAACCCAACATTTGAATATATTAATTTTATTTTGCATAATAAATGAAACTATAAAAAGTTATTTCACAATACGATGGTTCTTTTGGGAATAAATAAAAATAATTCTGCATTAAGGTATGAATGGAGGTTCTGAGTTAGAATAAGCAAAAAAAAAATCACTGTGCCCATGAACCTGCATCTATACCTTAAAATGAAACAAGATTATTAATCATTGCCTTGAATTGTAATTCTCACCTTTTCACTTAAAAGCCCATCATCTACTGGCAGACGTAAAACATCTTGTAGATACTGATGAATGAGCATATCCTTCTTTCCGCCAGATGAATTCAGAAATCCAATAGCCAAATCAATTGCTCGTATCGATGTACACAAATCTGGTAAACTAAGGTTATTACGAATGTCTACCATGATTTCGCGTTGTGGGCGATGTGGTATTTCCACCTAAAAGACAAATTGTAAATTTGTTTATTGACCGATCACTTTTTGTGGTCAGTTGTTGGATCAGATTAATGTTTGCTAGACCCGACTTTGAATACCAATAGGGTCAACCCCACTCTGGTTGAGTGTGTCACAAAGTGAATGGGGAGGACATTGCCATTGATCAATCATTAACTGATGCAACATAGGAGAATCTTAGATAAGGTTTGTAAGAATGAGTGTTCGACCAGGTCTGGTTGACACCTGGATAGTGTATTGAAATTATCAAAAGCCATTAACGTGCTGTCGCATAGTCACAAATATGTTGGTTTCTGAAGCAAAATGCACTACATGTATATATACCGCCAAGTTATTGGTGCACTATCTGGATGAACAATTTTTACATGATACAAGTTCAAGAATCAATCTCAAACAAAATAACAGTGAAATATTATTAATGAGAATGAGTGCTTACCTGTGGGATCAAACGACTTAAGCTGGCGAACACTTGTTTATCACAAATACTATCACTAAATACAAATGATATCGGCTATAGAACGAAAAACACAATCAATTTAGTTACAAATCTGGCACACATTCGAACATTAATTTGAATTAAAATAGACTACCTGTATTATGTTAATTTTACCTCTCTTTCAATAAGTGGTTTCCCTTGAATCAGCTTGGTAATTATTTGTCTTTCAAATGCTGAAAAGTCATAGTCCAATATCGGATCTCCACCAATTTCCAACAAATAATTACAATGTGACATTATCATTTGCTCTAATTCCTCTTGATCAAAGTTAATGAGATCTGTAGTGGTTATGTCTGATATCTTCACCCTTTCTTGACTATTAACAAGACACATAACAATATATTAATGTCGTGAAACTTACTTGCAGCTACATAGCAGCAATTTTTGAAGCACTTAGATAATAGTCATAAACAAATTGACACGAATATTTTACCTCAATTTAAACCCTCTAATGTATGCAAACTTGTGTAGAAACATGTTCTGTGCAGTGATAAGTGCGTCCACCAATGCCAGTGAACACCTCCCTCTGCCAGATACAGATGGTAATAAAATAGATAACGGTGATTCCAATCCAACCTCATCAGCTATATACTCTTTTGGTATACCAATACCTGTACAATAGTGAATATTAATTTTGAAAACATGTGTTAATCAATTTCAATTAATTCTAGAACAAAATATATATTCTGAGAATGTCTGTTTTATCTTGTATAATAATCACCTCCAACACCTTCGTGAACTATAGCGTTTTTCATCAATCTCCAGGCTACACAGAAACTGCCAACTAGAAACTTCAAGCGTGGTCGATTTGTTTCTGTAACAAAATAACGTAGTGATTACTAAAACACAATGTATAATAAAACCCTGAGACATTAACTTGATAATATAGCAAAATAAATGTGGTACATAACAAAAGCACCAACTGTTACCATTTTTTGCGCTGAAATCACAGATAAGAGTGTCTTCCGCTTCTTGTTCAGAAATTTTCAGATGACAAATTCTTCTGAGTTCTACTTGCAAATGGACAATATCTGGCAACAGTCGTACAGCTTGTAGATAGTGGTTCTAGCAAAAAGTGATAAATAAAGTAAGATTGCTATATGTCACGAAATGAGCAATCAAAGTAGCATATCATAAATATTCTAATTTAGGCATCACTTTTTTAACATTCAATCTTTCCAGATGCCTAAATTAGAGTGAGGCTTAAATTAGAGATTTTATGGTAATAAAGAACATGTGTATCTATTTCAGTATCATGTCAATGAAAACAGGTTTTAAGACCAACCAATCAACCTGTCATATAACTAACCATTTTCATAAATTCTTCTAGAATTGGAAAATGTTCATTGCTGTTCTCAAGTAATCCAGCAAGTTGCTCAAAGCGAACCTTTGGGCGGTAGTTCCAAAGAATTGCGTAGTTGTGAGATACTTCCTCAATGTCAGATGAATTAATTTCATGCTCAAATATAGATTTGTATATCGCGTTTTGATCTATGAAAGAGAAAACAATATTATTCTCAAAACATTTTATTCAATTATAAATATAGATACAATAAACTATACACAAGTCATATTGAACCAGGTTCACAATAAATTACACACAAACTTAGATGCAAATGGCAATGCAATAAATTTCTCAATCTTCCTCACCTGAATTTGCATCATCAAATAACTCTCCTCTCAGATCCTCCCAAGTATTGTGCAGGTTCTGTGAATGTAGAATTGTAACAATATTATTACCGGTATCTCTCAAATGTTAACATTAACTACGTCTAAACAATTGGTGATTGGCATCTTAGGCATAATCCACTCGTGATACGTGAAAAACCAACACATTACCTTTATTGCAGGTCTTATGTATTTTTCAACCATTATTGATTCCCATTCTGCTCTATCCTCCTGAGATTCCATTTCAGGATATAAAGAATAAATATCATCTGGAGTAAAGAAAATGTTTTTATTTATCTAAAAGTAGCCATATTTGTTTTTAGAGAGAAGTGTTTATTATTCTTTGAAGCTGACAATATTTAGCACTAACAATGTGTGGCTATCATTTTTTTTATCCCCACATACCATCTTCTGAGATGTCTTTCAGAATCACATTTAATACAAAGTGTATTGTCATCACAGCGTCATCATAGCTTCCTCCAATGGCGTCTGAGAGCATTTGTACATTAAGTCGAATATGTTTCATGAGGAAGTCGCCTACACGACCTTCCTCTCCGATGTAACTAGCATGTCCATCAATCATTTCAGAAATCACCTACAAAATATAACGTGTGGAATCAATCATCTAAAATGTCATTGGTTAATTTTTATAGTAATTTTTGGTTTATATTGTGACACACACAGGCCATATTTACACCATTTACTATTAAGATGGTTGGAATGGGCAGACATAGTTATTATGTGTTTGTGATATCTGGCTCATTGCTGATATGGTAAATGAAAAATAGTTGGCTTTACATGTGTGCATAATACAAGCCAGCTTGATTTTAGTGGGACATGTCAAGTAATGTGACAACATCTTTCAAAACATTTAAGCAGGGTTTTCTTTCATATCCTAAGTCCTCTGTTTTCATTATGTATTTAATGAATGTATTCCTAATTACCTGTGCATAACTCAAGCTGCCCAGAAGCATTGCAACATGTGTCATAAGCCGCATAATAACTAGAGGAATTGGCTGTATCCCTCGGATAGGGTAAATTGCTTCATGTGTTGTTGGTGTACCAAGATTGTGACCAGTCACAATAAATTGATCCCTGTATGAAAAAGTTTTACCATAGTAAATAACAATTATCACAATTGAGAAAAAAAAAACGCTATAGCAGTTGTTTAATGTAAAATGTACCTTTGTAACTGAATATCATCTCTCCATTTTTCAATACCACATACAGGGCACCTTTGTGGATGAGTTTTATTAGGCTGTACATAATAAGTATGCCTGTTTCCACAACCTAAAAAACAACAAAGCATACAGAACTGTTAAAAAAACATTTTTTGTTTCACATGTTGAGTAATTTGAAACAAAACTACATATACATATATACCGGTATACATGTATACACCAGATACACAACATGCAAGTGAATATTCAATCACACATAGTGGAAATCACTGAAAAAAACTTCCTGGTTTTACTATTTCTAATGTTTATATGCAGTCCTTTTTATATTCTTTATATTCTTTGGTTACACTAGGTAGTGTAATAGTAATTTTGATGTTGGAATACTACAGTACTCACATAACCATTGACCCTCAACAGAAGATTGTGTTTTGAAGAACTCGTCATCTGGCATTGTTGGTAAGTAATGTCCCTGTTGATAAATAATATTAAAAAAAAAAATGTTTTAAAATGTAGTTGACATATTGCAAAAAATTATCTAATCTTTCATATCATTGGCTGCCTGCCAAATCATCTTTTCCCACATAACTGTGTTTTATAATCACTGATAATGTTAACCAACATACTGACCATTAAATTAGATGGTTTAGTCATCAGGTTCCATAACGGTTGGAGTATGCTGTTCTTACCAGTAACCACCAGCAGGGCATTCATGTGGGTGATAATAGATATCAATTCACGTTCATTTCTATCTAAGTCAGGTGATATCTCCAGAAAACTGTTAGGGAAACCTTGCTGGTTTTGCAGCAGTTCCAACAACAAGTCGATTTCCTTGTAGAGTAATACAAAAAATAACTTACCGGTGATATTTAATAAAATGACATCATAATTCCTGATTATCTACCAAGTGCTAGAAGTAGCGGAGTATCTTTCTACTTTACAGAGCATCGGATTGTACACGAGTGTCATGCAAACAGTACATAACATACTCTGGGCAGATTTATGTAATTATTTTCCAGTGGACTTCAGTGTAGGGTTGGATAACTTAATGATATGTAATCTGTTTATTTAATCATAGACTGTTACAATGATGATATCTTTGATATTATGTAAATACCTTTTAATCGAATCATACATGAATAAATAAGGAACAACATGACCTCACCTGTGTCTCATAATCATAGAGATCTTGTTGCACCATGTCAACTAGCATATGTACAACCTGCAAAAACGTAATGATGAGGTTCCAGTGTAAAATAAAACATGCAAAGAACATTGTATGTACAACTATATCAGTGAACACACTTGCATACTACATCATCATATATGTTCTGCTCTTACCTCGGGATTTACTGGCTCATCCCTGGCATACTGTAATGTTACTTGACTGTATATAGAGAGTATCAAAGACATCTTCGCAATGTCTGGTTCATCAGAATGCTGCGCCATGTAAAGTGAATACATATATTTTAATAAAGTATACAGATGCATGTTACAAAACATTCAATTCAACTATAACAATTTTATTCATGAGTATGATTTGAGTCATTTCTGCTTTATTCAAAGATACATATTTTGGTTGTATAGAATAAAATTAATTTGAATCAGTTAGGCTTTGAGTAAATAGTTTGTACTAACCTGTATGATATGCAGTACATTATCTATATTATTCTGTTTTTCAAATAGTTGATGAATGGTGTATTTCAGTTTTTTGTAGAGATCTCCAGTGATATTGAACTGATCGAACTTAACAATCTCAGTGTTACTGCCACACAACTAAGTGTGAACAAAAAATATAACATTAGAACACAACATAACAATTATAAAACTCACTCTTGTTGAAACATCAGACATCACTTTGTGTACTGATTTTATTACCGGTATGTAGTGTAGTTGTCAGTTGTTTTAAAGTTTGTTCTTATGGATTGTTTTGCCAATCCTTGTCTGTAAGTTGTTTTGTGTTCTTGGACTTGTCTCTACCCTACTTTTGTGTAAAGATCTGTCTTCAAGATTGTCAAGCATATTTGCACAAACTTGAGCTCAGTATATATATATATTCTGTCCCTGATTTGAACACATGAAATATGTATGTTGATACATGTATAAACAATACAACTAACACATTTTGACAGTCATCGTGGTGCTGTATTATGTTTCCAATACAAAATACTTTGTTTAGTCTCACCTGTAGAGTATGTGGAAAAATCCATTCCAGATCCTTTGGGATTTTGTCCAAATAGCCTAAGTTGTATCTACGACACAGACATTTCAAAAGAAACATTGAACACTGTGGTGAGTTAGTAATCTGTAATATCTGCTTTGAATGTTGCAGCATAGATTGTATTTCCCCAGTTAGTTGGCTTGGCATGCTTGCATTGGTAATGTCATGTATAATATCAGCTGTTCTGGTTAACACATATCTAGCTGCAGCGATGCTGAGTAAATCGTCAACATTTACACCAGTAAATGGTTTGCTTTGATCAATCAAAGGATATACATCATTCGTATTGATCCCATGCTTGTGAAACGAGTCCTTGAAAACAAAAAATAAACAGTAATTATTTGTAAATCAAAAACATTCAATTCAACATGACAAGGTGATTTGATCATGTCATTCAACTGCAGAATATATATCACCTACCTCAATACAATTGACAAATAGACTCAATACACCATTCTTTTCCTGTGGAGTGCTGCAAAGTTGTAAGTACTGCTCCATATACTTCTGTAAATGTGGTCTCACTTTATCTATCCTGAAAATATTAAAACCATAACAAAATATAACGACCCTGGATCTTTTCATCTTGCTTCAATCTTGGCATACTATGTTACAAAATTTGTTGTGACAAAGTATATCATACCTGAATCTTAGAATTAATCGGACCAAAAATGCACTCATGTTCATATTGCAACTTGTTTTACCAGGATCAGAAATTGTAAGTGTTCCATCTTGTATTCTTAAGTTACACTGTAGTTTGTTCCAGACTTCATCATCAGGGGTGTCATTTTCACCAAAGTTCAGGTAAAATGTAGATATAATTTCTAAGAGGAACAAATTGCAATTTTTTCGATGGGTTTTATACAATTCAGCATCCTTTCTGTAAATATACATAATAGACTGGTTAAATTTCACTGCACACACATACATTGACAAACCATTCATTATCAGCTGATAATATATATTGCACATTTATCATAATTTAATCAGTAAATATAAACTAAAAGAAGTTTACCTGCTTTTCATAGTCCCAGTTGCATTTGGTGGAAATTCCTCCCTACAATCATCAATGGGGCATTCCAGTATTTCTTGAGTTTTAAGTATCTCAAAACATTTTTCACAACATAAATGTTGACATTTCAAAACAACAGGATCAACAACATCATGTGGCTGAAAAGCACAATGTGGCACATCTTTTCTACAAAACAAATTTCACAGCATGCATGTTAAAAGAAGAGCTAGCATTTATGACTAATTAATATTAGAAACTTGATTTCTTGACATATATATCTCTAAATTATATGCCACCTCACAATATATTATTCCTTTGTAAGATTTTCATTGTCTACTCTTTTAGACTGATTGCATTGAAAACACAATACACTGATGGATCCTATTTCAAATAACAAATCAAAGAAAGCTTAGAAATAACTCGTGTGGAAATGCCGAAAAAATATGAATTATTAAGCCAATGAGGGAATTAATATGCTTATATTTTAAATCAAATCTAATCATGTATATGCATTGTCATAGAGCATCTATGTACCACGTTCATTGAAATGTGATGATTAGTACTGTAAAATCTGTATTAGAAGCCGCGGCTTCTATTAGAATGGTACAATGCAACAGAGGGGGTGCGGCTTCTATTAGAGCATCTACACATATGAGAAATGATGAATTTTTGGTTCTCAATTATTCAAATAGAATGGATGCGACTTCTATTAGGGATGCGGCTTCTAATACAGATTTTACGGTACTTGAGATATCCATGAAAAAGCTAAAATTGACGAATAATTATGCAAATTAGGTAATTAGCAAGAACAGATTTTTACCCAATACTAATTAGGTCTGTGCATATTCATAGTGCATCTACATACCAAGTTTCATTGAAATTTAATAATTAGTACCTGAGATCTTGAGATATCAGTGTAATTAAAAGCCAAAAATTGAATAATTATTATGTGAAGATTTTTTGTTTTTTTGATATTTGTGGAACAGTCATGGAGCAACTAAAAATTGTCATGCAAATTAATATGTACATTTTTCAAAAAAACTAATCAAACCAAAAAACACATTAGTCATCCAGAGCATCTATGTATTAAATTTCATCAAAATTTAATAAGTGGTTCTTTAGATATCGGTGGAACACACACACATATTCAATTTATGGTTTCTTGACCTCGGCAATAAATGATTATTCAATCAACTGTTACCCTAATTAGGTTTTAATTGGCAAACATTTAGCCAAAATTTGTCTTATTAGAAATAATCCCATTGGTATACATAGTGTAAAAATTCAACGATAAATATTTTAAAATATGTATTAGAAGCCACAGCTATAAAAATGATACGATGCAACAGAGTGGATGGGCTTTCATTAGAGCATCTACATGTGATGAATTTTTGGTTTTCATTTGTTCAAAAAGAATGGGTGCAGCCTTTATTAAGGATGCGACTGCTATACAGATTTTACATGATAAACATCGATATTTCTAGTTTAGTGTGTACCCACCATCCCTAGAACACCCAATACAATGCGTTGTAATTTGTTGTAATATTACTCACACAAAGTATCGCCTTACAGCATCAAATCTGCACGTATTGAGTAGTTTCTCAACAATCATCATATGGTTAACTTTTGTTATATTAGTTTTCTTCTTAATCACCTGAAAAAAATGATCTAAATTTAATTAATATGAATGTATGTATATGCAGTGCAATTAATCAATCAGTGGATCAATCACAGAAATTAATAAATGCAGCATTTTTCTCACCCGGAAATATGCCAGAGCAGTTTTTACATCTCCATCATCCATTTCACCAGAACAGAGATTGTCAACAAACAGTCGTAACACATACATAGCATCCCATTTGGGCCTGTAATTACAAATTACAATGAATATAGCAATATTACTTCAATCAAATATGACATAAAAATATGACATGATTTGTTGATTGATTATATATACATGTATTAATCTTTTGTTTTAGGATTAAGGTGGTTGTATAATTATAGTACATTAAGTTACATAATTATGTAACATACACCGACTCACCTGCATTGATCAAGTATTCGTTTGGTCTTTGGGCCAACATTGCCCAAAAGCAAAAGTTGGTTTGCTACAAAAGTAACACTAGGCAAAAGTTCATTTAACCAATATTTGAGAATTGTGGGTTTTCCAAGTTCTTCAGTCTCTGGTACAATCATATCCAATGTATAGCTAAGCGCTATAACGTCAATAATCTACATACATTAAACATACAAAACATATAAGCAGAGCTTTGAATGGGAGTATTAAACACTGAAATATTTGAAACCTATCAAGCACATAATTATATATTTAACTCATTCATATGAAAGTGAATAAATTCACAGAAAAAATGCAGTGACCAATTCGCTCTTACAACCCTAGCTTACCATTTCATCAGTTTGTTCTGTGACGATCAACTTATTGAGTAATGATTTGAATGTATTAACCAGCTTCGAGAAATATTGAAGACGGCGTTTCACTTGATGATAAGCAACGTGTATATCAGCAATATTAAGATCATTATCCTTAAGATTATGCCCCACATGACCACTTTGTCCAGTACTGACATGCTTGTTTCTTATTTCCATCGATGCAGTCTTAATAGACTGACATACAAGCTATAAAATACACACATGTGTTAATTATACCAATACACAAATAACAAGGCAATACAGTATTAATTGTTGGAAAAAAACTATAATAGTTGGTTACCTCAAACTCTTCAATAGATTTCCATTTGTACGCTCTTTGTACAAAGTCATGCAAGTAGAGGTCAAAGAATTCGCTCCAATTACCACCTCCCTGAATAGCTGCACGAATGACTTGACCAATTGGTGCATTTTCCAAAAGTTTCCAAAGGCAAATACCAAGCCTTGAATGTGCTTCTTCATTGTCTAGCATTAAAAATATAAAAGAAAGTTTAAAATAAGAGATATGATTATATGTATTCAGTGGCTGTCAGACAAGACTAAACATCAAATTGACATAAAGTTATATTAAAAGGGAGAAATGAGAACAATTACTTTGTAATAATGCTGCATTGGACATCTGGCTTTCCAAGAAGTCGTATATAACCCATGAAAATGGCAACTTCCATTTATTGCTCATATCATTAGGGCCATCATGAAGAACTAAAGCTCTTTTCTCAGAACTAGGAGGATCTGCTACTTTGCATTGTGTAACGATAGGATCATTGAACATGTACAACCAGAATTTATGAATCCAATGTTGACATGGACTTGAATGTAGAATGGTTAGGTTGTTGTTTCTGGAACAGTATGTGATTAACTCTGCTAGAATTGGAGTCACCAGTTCACATATCTTCAATACTAATGTTTTTCTGAATGTTCCTCCTTCCTGTAGAGAATGAGCTTGCATGGCTACGTCTTTAGCCCAGCTCTTTCCATTGTTTGGCTGACACTGATCAACCTCATGAAGAAGCAAGTGCATCCTTTTGCGAAGCACATCTGGAAACCGCCTGAAATCTGAGAGCAAAAATACATAAAATAATTTTTTTTTTAGTGAGATTTTCCAAGTTCCTGTGCAGTGTATTAGGAGTTCTGATGTTTGCCTGTGACATAGCTTAATTCGCACCAACCTGATAAAGAAGATTGTTCTCGTACTTCTAATAAATCTTGCATTTTGCGAATATATGTTGTAGTGGTACTCATTTCCGATGACTCAATTTCTTGTCCTGTATCATTACCCCAATCTATCAATGACATAGCACCATGAATGCACATTTTAAGGACTGCTATAGAGTCAAAAGTATCTTCATCATTCAAGCTAAAGAGGTCACTCACAGAATTGGATATAAGGTTACCCATGTCTGGTGAATTGCCTGTTGGAGGTCGCAGATCATCAATATGGGTGGTTATCCAAGGATCAGCTTGAAACCCAAGAAAATCATCACCACCAATCCGCGATAACTGCACAACAAGCACCAAATGTGCATAGTTATTACCAGTGTTCCTACGCTCATCTTGGATAAGGAAACGTGCAAATGGTACTAATTTCAAATTGTGTCTTCCAGAAGCACATTGCAAAACAAGTAAATGTTTTGATTGCATGTCCTTCCTGTAAAATTCACTGTAAAATAATAACAAAATATGAGTATGATACAAGTTTAGTTTTACATCATTGCATTGTAATAATAATAATAATAATAACTTTATTGCATCCTTAGAATTACAAATGTTCTATTGGTTTACAGCAATAAATATATAAGTGATTAAAATAATATCAAAGTATGATAACGTAAAAAAATAGAAAAAAAGAGTCAAGGTATTATATCTAAAGAAAGCTCATTTCTTAAAATGAAAGATTTATGTAAAAATTCCCCTAAAAGTTTTATTATATTTCTGTCATTATTTTTCATTAAATATGTGAATTTTTGCAGGTTGTATGTTGTAGTACAAGTGGCTATTGCTTACCTCATTGCAGTTCTAAATTCTTGTTCAGATCCAAACTGTTGCAGATTCACCAAGAATATATGCCTGTGATTTATTGTTGTCTTACCAACTACTTGTAGTGCATCAGTTAGAAGTTTACCATGTGTGGTAACCTGAAACAGTACAGATGCATTTTGACAATAGGTGACCTAAAAAGTGAAAAATAACGTAACACAAAAACATAACACAGAAAAGACATTGCATTCAACTTCTCAAATATCATCTATTACCAGATTTCATCTTCAAGAAAAACGATGTTAGGGTTCAAATTCTACCTAGACATTAAAGAAAAAGAAATCCATACCTTTACTAAGTGTACTACATCATCAATGGGGATGCCAAATTAATTCAGTTTCATTCTCAAACAAACTGTAGGAACTTTATAGAAACTTCTATAAAGTCCAGAAGTACTTGTGCACAACCAGACCTGGCAATGTTACAAAACATAAAACTATTTCTGATAAGGATTATGCAAATATACATACCTGTGCTAATAGTCTGGTACTATCACCACATGTTTCATAAATATCTGCTAAGAAGTGGGATAGGCTTGTATGACACTGATCAATGAAGTACATGTCAAATATACTATTTGGATTATCTGGGAATTGTGTTTCTGTAAGACGAACAATTGCATCTGGGGTACATGACTGTATAAAACGCTTCTTGGCCAAATCCAATACCTAAAATAAAAATATGCATGATTAATATAATTAACAACTAACATCCAGCAGTATCAAATTACATTAATTTGTTTTATTGTATTTAAAATGATAAACATTGTACCTCCTTCTGATTCCCATGCTGTAGCTTTGTTGAATTGTGTGCTGCAACTACTGTGGAAACATCGTGTACGATGGTTGATACAGCATCTTCAAAGTATCCTATGAAGGCTTCTGACTTGGTAAAGTTGTGTGTTTTGCTTTATGTAAGGAAGTGAAAACAGTATTGATAATTTTTTCAGCTAATGCAATAACATAATTTACAATAAATCAACTAATAAATTCAGTTTGCAATGTTGGGTGCTAGAGAGAAAAGGTTCGGGATAACATTAACTCATACCTTGTGATAACTTGCTGGCGCAGAGTTACAAAGGAGTCTGTCCATTGTCGTAATTGTTCCACTAATGCAAGTTCTTCTGTGGTCAATACATTATTCACGACTATGTAGTGTTTTTCCAGACGATTTATCAGTGGGATAGGATACGTTTGCAACACCACATCACGTTCTGCTATGACAACAAGCCTTTAAAAATAGATTGGTATATATTATACATACTGTCTGTTTTAGATTATTTGTAAATATTGGCAATATCAACTTTATGCATGATGATTATTTTCCTCAGTACCTATGATCACATTGGGTTAATTATACATATACAATAAATAATACTACTGTTATACCCTCACCTGAAGTCTTTATGTACCAATGCATTAAATCGATGCGTTCCAAGACCAAGATTTACATATCGAAGTTCTCCATATTCAATGTAATACTAGAAATTTAGTACAAATCTATTAATTAACTAGTCAAATATGTCATTTTCAACAATTTTATGAAGCACAGGAATATTAAAACTCTCTATTCCATATCAATATCAATAAAACACAACAATTGTCTTATGTCCAAGTGAGTAGTAAAACATAATATCAAACCACATAAGTGAGCGAAGTGTTAAACATACCTGATTCATGGTGTCATACAGGGACTCGTACAGCACTTCAGCATTTATTAGAATAACTGGATGTCCAGTCTCCATACATATCTTTATACGTTTTATATTTCTGCAAACCTAAAATTCAATATTAAACAAAATTAATGCATTATACTAGCATAACACTAATTATACCAATAAGTTATTCATGGCATAACATATCATTGTTCAATAATGAACGAAACTGAAATGTGTCAGCCATTTTAAATCATAACTTGAAACAAATGAGTGTTAATATATGCGACATGATTGCTATGCTTGGTTTTCATGCAAATGAATATATATATATATATAATAATAATATTTATTGCATCTTTAGAAATACAGTATTTCTATCAGTACAGTAGCAATAAAAGTATAATAATAATGAAATAATAAAGAAAGAGAAAATATTATAATGTTAAGTATAAAAGTAAAATGTAATGTGTTAAATTTTTTACTAATACTATTAAGTTTAATAATAATAAAACTAAGACTAATAATAATAAAATTCAAAGCTATCAACTATCTATTCTTTCTTGAAAGGCTTTGTAAATAAACTGTGAAACCTTTTTTATAATTTCACAATCATCTGCACTGAGCAATCGAATGAATGTATTGTGAATGAACATGTGCATATATGTGACATACAAATGTATATACATAAAATTTGAACATGATCAGTCAAGACATTAAACAAAACAAATCAGATATGCAAACCAAATGACATGCATGAAGGTCCCATAATGTCCAATGTATGTACTGAGTTTGATCAAAACTCATTAATATATGGCCGATATTCAGTTTCAGACTGACAGAAATGCCATTCGTCCATTGTAAATCGGATTGTGAAATGAATGGATGTGTATTTGTATCTAGAAATCTAAGAAGTATGTGTAGACAAAATTTCAAAGATACAGGTGAGGACATGCACATATACACAAACACACACACACACACCCACACACATACACAAACACACTGAGATAATACCATAAGTTCCCCATCTTTGGACTGCCTCTGAACAGGGACTAATACAACAAATATTACAACTAATATTGCTGGTATACATCCTATTACACATTAAAGTGTCAGTGATTTCCAGTACCAACTAGTAATAAAATACTGAAATAGATTTTTTGTGCGATTATAACCAGAACACATGGCAACTGTTCTTAGTCCTAAGTATATACCATGCTGTCTATAGTACTGCCTTACATCTCATGCAAATATTAAGTAGGGAATTTTCTTTGCTTGATGTGTACAATGTGGAAATAAACAACCGAACAGTACCTGGGAGTATGCTTGATCATTTTTGAAATTACTTCCATATATTACCAATGTTTTCTCATGATCAAGAAATGGTTTTCCGTCATCCTGTTTCATGTTTCTCAAAATATCATATGCTGCACTATTTTTTGTCATGAGTAGCAAATATCTAGTTGTCCTGAAATTGTATAACATAATTAAATTATGGATATTTAGTATGAAATCTCTCTATAACACAACCGTACTTGTGAAGGTGATTAATGTTAACACACTGGTGTCATTATATATTTATTTGGAAATATAATTTTGCCGATCATAATAATCATAATAGATAAATCCTGCCACTATACATCTCACATTTCAAGATTTGTACTGGATGCATATTTAATTTGTATACCAGTTTTATAGTTGCATGTATGAGCACATATTTATTTATTCCATGGGTAGATAAAGCGGCTTGACTTACCCTGTGGACCCTTCACTTAGTAAGTTGGATCTGATAAGGTCAACTGAAGATATATGTTGTGTCTCATTCTGCAGTAGAAATAATCAACAGCATACAATATTCAATTGTCAATTAATAATAAATTAAGCATATTAATTAATAATAAATTTGCAAAAGTGCAAATGGACAAACACCTTTAAACCAGCATTAAACATATGAGGTCATGTATCTGAAAAAAGGGTAATCACATCCTGCCCTGCTATGATAAGGCATCTGTGAATTATTATCTCACTCAGAACAAAGTTTCTGTGAGCATGTTACAGAAAAACTGCCTTCCTCGAGCAAATGGGTGAAAAAAGTGACAAAATCCGATGGTAAAAATTTAAATAATAGTATGACCATGACAAATTTTGATTTTATTAGTAGATCCCTATCACAATATCTTGTCAAGTACGTTTAGGCCATTATAATATTCAATTTTTTGACTCGCGTGTGCTTACCTGTTCATCAAATAACCTGTTTAAATAATACGTATCTTCTTCTCCATTGCAAAAACTTCTGCACAGCTTCTCAAAAATAGTGACTGCTTCAGTACCTTCATGGCCTCCAAAATTTCGACTCACACAATGCCTTAAAATAAATGTCATTGATAAATATATGAGCACACTCATATAAAAATATTATTTACTCAATCACATTTCTGATGATGATATATCTATTGCTATAATTTAAATCATTGTACCTCATTTCTTCCCATGTAAGACACCTTCCTTCTGTTTCTGCCACAGAAGAAACCATTTTAACAAGGCTATAGGAAAACAAATACAATGAGATGCACACTATATTAAATTAATAGAAAGTTCTTGAATATATTTTGTTTGACGAAAAAAAAAAATGGTGATGCTGACTAACGTAGAAAATGAATATTAGTAGTACCAATAAGATAAGCTATAGTATGTGTTATACATGTATAGGTATATGCAAAGTTTTCTCATTAGAAATCAGATCACAAAAAAACAATTATAAACAATTCATCATCACACTTACCAATAGAAATCTCTTAGTCCAAAGTATTCACGTTTCCCAGCACATTTTTGGAACAAATCTAAATATGCTTCTGCCATAGGATGAATTAAATTCTCCATAGACGCATTTGAGGCAATGTCACTGTTATTGCAAAACATATCAAACAATCAACAATAAAAAGTGATTACACCATACGTGTATATCCAATTGTGATGTTTACTGTGATATGTTTTAATAAATAGCTGCAGGCAATTTGTTGATCAACCCGAAATAGAAATTACGACTTGCATGGTATTGAGTCGCATAATAGTACAATGCCACATTTATTTTTTACTGATTTCAAATAGACATCTTCCATACCAGGTTGGATGGAGAAGGCTATGATCACTTACCATGCACTTCTTTCCAATTCTTGTATATTTGGCACATCCCTCACTACAAACACACCTCTATTCATCTTTGCTGGATCGAGAGACCAGTTGGAAAGTCCCATGAAAGCAACTTTCCTCCAAGCAGGAGGGTCATCGATATCTTCAATGCAACCATTTTCCAGCAGTGGATGCAAAGTCTAAAAGAAGGTTGTAAATTTCTGGCAACTTATAAAATGCAAAGTTGTATGTAAATAATACCGGTAATTAGTATTTTGGGTGCTTAGCCTAAATGACAAACTGACCCAAAAGTTGGTATTTTTTCTACATACATAATTCCATATTGCAAATCCTGTATTTTTTAGATATTTTGATATTACCTACTGGCTTAAAGTTGAAGTGAGCCAAAGTGGGGTGGGGGTGGGGGGTTTTGGTTTGTCAATCCTCAGTATAAAAATAATAATCACCAGAAGTGACTTTTTACAGGGGTTTGACTAATGGAAAAAGTGAAGTGAAAATATATAACCTCCTCACTTAACCCACAAGGACAGTACAAATAAATATTCAAAATTGTGAAAATTAAAACTTAATTCCCGAAAGTAATCTGGACACTGTTTATCGAATACTGATTTAATTTATAGGCACTCAGAGACAAACCAGACTGCAGATTTAATATTGAGACAGCCTTGACGCTTAACATATTAAAACAAGCAGCCTGTCGGCTGAGATAGCTCCGCTGTTAGCAATACACATTTCAATTAAAGAACTGAATATATCATTAGACAAGCAGCCTATCGGCTGAGATAGCTCCGCTGTTAGCAATGCACATTTCAATTAAAGAACTGAAGACATCATTAGAAAATGAACAATATGAATAGTATCAAAGCAATCGGACTTACAGTTTTTAACAAGAAGTCGAAAATATCACTTTTTAACAAAAATTACAAAAATATTCACCAAAATTAGAGAATTGAAGATACCATCACAAAATGAACAAATCTGAGAGAGGTCTACATGTAGTACCTATATATGTAGTATCAAAGCAATTGCACTTGCGGTTTTTAACAAGAAGTCGAAAATATCACTTTTTACCAAAAATGACAAAAATATTCACCAAAATTAGAGAATTAAAGATATCATTACAAAATGAACAAATCTGAGAGAGGTCCACATGTAGTACCTATATATGAAATATCAAAGCAATTGCACTTGCGGTTTTTAACAAGAAGTCGAAAATATCACTTTTTACCAAAAATGACAAAAATATTCACCAAAATTAGAGAATTAAAGATATCATTACAAA